GGAGTTATTCTGCAATGTCGCTACGATTATTCTGTAACAAACAAATGTAAAATCCGAATTAAAGCAGGGTAACAAAAGAGAGAGGCAGTCAATATTTCAAAAAATGATTACTAAATACTAAATTTTATATTATTGTTTATTAAGCAAATTTAATGAAATAATCTTGTAATTTCTTAAGAATACTCTATCAATTGAACATAAGCTTCTATAGAATTTATAAAATAAAACTCTTTTTCTCTAACTTTTATTTTCTGAATAACTATCCGGTTGAAAAGTAAATGATCTATCCGTATAAGATATAATATATGTATATGTATAAATAAATTATATTTACCGCATGTTGCTCCGCCAACGCCTGATGCCTCTCCTAGGCCTCCACTTCCTCTCAGGCTGCTCGAGATGTCAGCTACTGTTCCCTCGATGCGAAGATACTTCTTCTCGCGTGGAATATTTTCTGTAACATATAAATAATTGTTACGCGCATCGAACATCTTATTCGTTATTCAATTTCATATTTTTTTACATTACTATTGCAACACACAAATACAAATCTAATTTTTTTTTACGGGGCAGGTTGTTAGCCCTAGCCAACCCCCAATCTGGAGGATCGGACCTCAAATATAGAAGGGTACTCGTGACAAGAGATACACTCTCGGTCATCAGCCAATCAGAAGGCCGTATTAGCATCTTAAGACATCACTTCCTCTAGGAAGCCAAGTGCAAATTTCTAATTTGCACAATTTTACATATTTATGCCGATATGTCTTTCCATATCCATACATGCTTTGCGTGATATAAAGTTGACTCAAGTGTTTAATTGATTCTGATTGTAAAGGTGGTGGAACATTAGAGTCGGAAACGTGATTAAAACACTTAATTCTTTCGTTTAAAACATCTAAAGTAAAAAAGTTCTCTGTATTAATAAAATTATTCAAAATTTTAGCCAAATCGTATCTACGTATCCCTTTAAATAAATCGTGCATTAGGTCCACTGAAAAATTTTGAGTTACGTGATAATTTGATATTACATAAAAGATGCAATTTTTTTTACTTGTAATATTGTGTCGCTTTATTTTCGAATAAAGCGACACAATATTACAAGTAAAACACATTTTTGTCATGGCAATTTGAATAAAAATATCGAAAAGATTTTTATTACATTGTTATTAATATCTTTTAACTACTTAACTCCTGTAACTTCTATTAAATCTTTACGGTTAAGATAGCTTGTATATAATAATAGAATTAATATATCTTCCTAGATAATTTAATTTTGAATTAATTTATGACCCAGTTTTCACTGGGTACCAAAAAAATTATTATAGACTCATCAATTGTTCCCCTCCACGGAAATCTTTAGTAAAAGGCGAAAGATTTATTCGTGTATTGAAGGGAAACCAGAGTATCGAACTGATAGTCATAACACTCCTTATATACACAAGAGACCGAATTTTACTTACAAGAGATATTCTAACCTGATAGACCTCTCTCGGCCATATCTAGAACTAAACGTTCAGTCCCTTTAGGCTGCGTTCCACTTATCGCTCACAACGCTCGCGAGCATCATTTCGTCCTTTTTTTTATATCAATAATATTTATTTTTATCATAAAACATCATTATATAAAAAAAGTAATTAATTGTGGGATTTAAACTCCAGTCTATAAATTATATCCATTCACACATATTCAAATGTAGGTGTTCTAATAAACTCTACTCTGAAGTCAACATTAAATTATTAATAAAATATCTCGAAAACAATTGCCTGTCTGCGCCCAAGTAGGGGTACCATTACATTTGGGGGAACCTTTCTCTGTAATCCTATCAAGAGTTTCATCAAAATCGGCGGAGTTCAATAAAGTTCAGTTCTGAGTCTTCCCGTGTTAAAAAAGCGCATGTCTATTCGAAGAAAATATTTTTAAAATGGTTTAATTATTGAGGATATAAACTTTGACTTCTTCTAAATGATATGATATTGTCGATTTTCTTGACGTCTTTATTGGTCGATAAATTGGCACTTACTCCACTAGTATGAAGAGAACTCTTTTTCGTTGATGTTGCCGAGGATATCATATGTACTGACACTTTACGTCGAGTTTTATTATATACATTTTCCTACGAGATATTACATATTAAATATATTATGAATTTTTTAACCATCAAAGTCATTCTTCTAAGAAATCAAGCGTCATAAAAGAATGATATTTTATATTAAATATTTGTTTTATCACGATAAAATCCTTTCATTTAAATTTGAATTTGAATGATATATGTCATTAAAAAATCGTATATATTCTATGTAAAAAACTCAGTCGAAGAGTCCTTTACAGTTTTTGGATATGTTTAATATTAAGCGAGATATTGTAAGTTAAAGTTTGAATAATTTCTCAAATCAAGCGCTATGGTTTACGCGCTGAGCGATTGATAATTCGATTAAGAGCGCAACAGCAGATTCCCTTACTTGCTCCATCCCTACGCATTTGTGTAAAGTTTGCATCAATAAGCAAAATAATATAAATATAACAAAATTTATTCTTTATATTAAAGTTTTTTAACACAAATGAAAGTGTAGTTCTTTTGGCTTTGAAGTTGCACACAAGTTTTCAGTCTTGAGATTTCAAGGCAATGCCGTTCTCATTTGCGGAATATGCAGACATGCAGCTCATTTATAGGTACATGATTTGAGAAATTATTTAAACATCAAATTGCAATATCTCGTCAATATTTGGTCTCAAGAATATGCTGTTGCAATAGTACCTCAACTTTTTAAAATTATTATTATTCAATAATTAATAATAAGAAATGTTACATAATAATCACATGCTTTACATTGTAAAAATTTCATGTTATTGTACGCATACCGAATGTTGCACATGTAACTATATCAAAAAGAAATATTGTATATCATATTTTCTATTTTATAATGTAACTCTTTTATAATGTTGTATATATTGTAAAATAAATGTATATAATATATATATATATATATATATATATATATATATATATATATATTGTAAGAAAAATAAAATAAATGATAAAAATGTAAAAAAAAGTATTGTAAATAAAAGAAGATCGTCGATCGGAATCGGTGGAGGTGGTGGTGGGCCTGTATAGGTTGATCTGTTTCTATTAGATATCTAATCAGATAAAAACAGGTCCGCACATATATCAGAGGATATTTAAAGATTTTAAGTTTTAAATTTTAAATTCTAAAGACAAGAAAGTAAACATTTCTTCGCCAGTAAATAAATAACAAGGTAGATAATATTCAACACTGACTGGCAATAAAGACTTTTGACTTGAAGTCAGTGTCGAATATTATCTACCTTTAAAATACCTTTTAAATTTTAAATTTTAATTTATATTTATATATACACTGTTGGAAAATTTGTGTTAAATATAACATAAATCACATGTCCAAAACGGTCTACTCAAATTTTTGTGTTAATTTAACATAACATGGATGTGTTAAGTAGTAACACTGATATTATGTTAAAATATTTCAACAGAAAGAAAATGTAATTCAGATCGTAATTTGAAGTTAATTATGTGTACAATTAACTTAACTTTTATGTTGAAGTTGAGATTGTAAGATAAAATCAACACTCTATTTCTGTAAATTTTTATTCCTACTTCTTTTATAGAGTAAAATCAACATTCTTTTTCTGTAAATTTTAACACATTTAATAGATACGTTCAAATTGTGTTACTTTAACATATTTTTTAAGTTATATTAATTATTTTACATTTCGAATTTGTAAAATTCAATTAACATAGCAGGCATATGTTAAATCTACACACGTATGTGTTGATTATTTTACACAAAAATTTTAACAAGGACTTTTTTTAACACACAGGACCTCTGTTTTCAACTGTGTGTATATATATATATATATATATATATATATATATATATGTATAAAGGAAAAATGTAAGGGGTTAATAGTATAATAGTAACTGTATAATATTTTAATAATATACATTTGGCTTTAGCCAAATAGCACGCGCGTAGCGCACGTCTGTGATTGTGATATTAAAAAAATGCCAATTGAATTTATATCTAATTAAGTTATTTTTAACAAGAGTAATTATTTTTAAAGGTATATTATGTCCAAACGATAGTTATTATCAAAAAATATATATAGCCATAGAAAAAATTGACGTAAAATAAGTAAAAGTTAATTTCACGTTTCATTAAAGATACACATTTTCTTTCAATTTTATCAAATATATTTTACAATTTCTTAAGTAGATTTATACAACAGAACATTGTTTTCTTCCTCTTTTAATAAAGATCATTCGTGATAATCGATTGACGTTCGCAAGAAAAAATGGAACTTACCAAATACTATGCAGTATCACGAACGTGTCGTAATTCTCGCTGTTTATTATTTTCTCACGTCAACCGTTGACTTTTAAAAGATACGCGGCGTTTGTGACCTGTGACTAATACCGAGATTCGGTAATATTAAAAATATTATGTTGAGGAAGATATCCGCGAGTGATTACTTGACAGAAATATACGATGACGACAAAGACGAACTGTTAATTGGGATATTCGACAAGAAGACACCGCTTCTTTTATTAAAAAATCCAAATTTAATTAGGGATGTCCTTATCAAAGACTTATCCATGTTTGTTGATAGAGGACTTTCTATTCGCGAAAAGGTGAGAATACTGCAAGAAAGCTATTTTACATGTTTTCGAAGAATGAGACATATTGTTTTTCTTCCAATTTTTATTTAATTTGGCATTGAATTTATTATTCCGCTTGGCACTCCTATGAAATTATGAGTTTTAATTTAGTTTTCTATTTTGTTTTATTTACTTATGCGCATAAACATTATTTGCTTTGTCATATGTTTTTCTTGTGGTTTGATATTTTTCTACACAACATGTAATATTAAAATTCATTTATTCAGCATATTGAATGGAATAGTTTTTTACGCAAAGTAGCAACGAGTGTTATCTAATTTTTTTAAATTTTATCTAGCTATTTGTGCACATAAATTAGCGTAAGTTACAAAAAGCAATAGCATAGCGAATTTTGAACAGTTCTTTCGTTGATAAAATAAAAGTGACACTTATAACTGGTTTTTCAGATACAAAAATTATTTATTTCTTAATGTGAAAATATAAAAACAATCGAGAGAGTATAATGTGTATTGATATTTGTGGACAGTTATTTCTCACTTTCCTTAAGTAAGTTATAAATCTTTAAAAGCGATAAAGATAATATAAATTACAGGCTAAACTTCAACAAACTTTTTTATTACTTTATTTCCTTTATTGTTTAGCGATGACATCATTAGCGGAATTCTGTAACTTCTTCGCGACTGGTTCAATATTGTTGCAGGTATTATATATAGTAAAAAGAGCTGCGCAACGGTATCGAAACTGTTAAGGAGTTACAGAATCCCGCCTCATATCTTCATTAATCAAATCTCACGCGTATTCTTCATAAGCCTTACGTTTGAAACATTTAATATAACATCATTATACGTTGTTAAGCATACATTTTATTTAAATTTTATCAACTTTTATAACATTTCAAGATGGAAATTTATTTATTTAATAGGTTGATTTCTTTATTTCTTCAATAAAGATTATTCGTGATAATTGATTGACATTCGCAGGACAATGGAACCCTTCGAAATTTTGTGCGGCATCGCCGCCGTAATTTTCGCTCTTTATTATTTTTTCACGTCAACTTTCGACTTTTGGAAATCACGCGGCGTTCCTGGTCCACGACCGATACCAGGATTCGGCACTTTCAAAAACGTTGTACTTGGAAAGATATCCTTCAACGATTATTTGAAAAAACTGTACAACGACTACAAAGATGAACCGTTGGTTGGGATATTCGCTGGCAAGACGCCCATACTTATCGTGAAACATCCAGATTTAATTAAGGATATTCTTATCAAAGATTTCTCCATATTCTCCGAAAGAGGGTTCGTCTCTCACGACAGGGTGCGTATACTTTAAGTTGTTTGATTAGAAATCTAAACAAAGTGCTTTTTGTGAAAATTTTGATACATCTTTATACATTTTGAATAATAAAAATCGTGAGATTTGCTTCAAGAAGTCTTACCCTTAACCCCTTGCGTGACAAAAACATTTTGCTCCACTTGTACCAGAAAATCAAAGAATTCTGCAATAAAAATTTTAAATACTTTTTTATTAAATTTAATTTTTATATATATACAGGAGATAAAGAATATATTGCATATATATTATAAATATTAATATAGTTAAAAAATAATTTATTACATTTTATTTTAAATTTTAATAATGCATGATATTGTTTGAAACTTTTGCTTGGATGAAGTCCAAGTTTTCCTTTACAGTAAAAAAACAATTTTCTTTCACATGGATGCCAAAAATGAGAATTTGTTAAATATTTAACGATAACGAGACAAAAATAAATATTTATATAATATAAATATTAAATCATAATAAGCACACACATATGAAATACTTTTAATTTAAAAAATACAGATTAAAGTATATAAGAACTTTATGACAAATCTGACTTGACGCTGCCTTTATGGAAAAAGCTATGAAAAAGCTATTGTTTCATGTACTTCTTTCGTAACTACAGTAGTTCTTTTGTAGTATAATTTTTTCGTAAGCATGAAGCTGTTGAAACGAAATCGAGTCTCGACGTTGGGATGTTGAGGGTTAAGCGAGTTTTTGTAATCCGGTGGAATTTAATTTTGAGCTAAATTTACTCAATTGCATTTTTCTTTTTGTTATGCAGAGCGATCCGCTGTCGCAAAATCTTTTCCAACTGGATTCAAAAAGATGGCGACCATTAAGAGCGAAGCTGACGCCTGCTTTTACATCCCGTAAACTAAAAGAGATGTTCGTGTTAATATCAGAGTGCTCTGACCATCTCGTCCAATACGTGGAAAAATTAGTGAACAAAAATGAGTTTATAGAATGTGTCGAGATGACGGCCAAATACACGACCGACGTCATCGGTAGGTGCGCCTTCGGCATCGAGATGGACGCAATGTCGAACGAGGACAGCGAATTTCGCAGGATAGGAAGAAATGTGTTCCATAAGTCCTTCTGCGATCGCGTACGAATCATCATCAAGGACTACTTGCCGTGGCTCTTCGATGTCCTCTATGGCTACATCCTGCCGCAATCGGAGATCACCAGATTCTTCATGCGCATTGTCCTGGAGACTATGGACTACAGACAAAAGAATAATATTGTTAGAAAAGATTTCATTGACACGCTACGCGAATTGAAGAAACATTCGGATAAAATGGGCGATATCGGTAAATATAATTTGCTTTTTTTTTGCTGTTTATTGTTTGAAAATTTTGTTAGACGGAGAGCTATACGAGAGTTGCATCCAAAATATAATTCTGTAATTATAGCGAGACAAAGTGTAAAATTTCGTATTGGAGCAACATCCAATTGGTTATATCTCAGTTACTAATAATTAAATTAATCGCAAATCTTAACATTTGAAGTAGGAAATTGAAAGATATTTCTAAAAACATTTTTTTAGATTTGACCGACAGTTTGATGGTTTCTCAAGCATACGCGTTTTTCGCTGCTGGTTTTGAAACTTCATCGACAGCGATGGCTAACGCGTTTTACGAGCTGGCTTTAAATAAAAAAATACAGGACAGGTTGCGTGACGAAATTGATCAAGAATATATAAAACTTGCTGGCAATTTAACATATACAAACATCAAGGAAATGAATTACTTGGATAAAGTATTCAAAGGTATCAAAAAGAAAATTTAAATAAATGAAGAACCGCGTGACACACACACACACACACACACACACACACACACACACACACACACATACACACACACACACACAACATCGATCTTTGCAGCGGCATTATAATAATAATTTCATTGCTGATAAAACTATATAAATTGTAGTTTTTTATTGCGTACAAATGCATTTAAACAGATAGTTTGAACTATTTTCAATATAGAAGTCTTACGAATGTATCCACCTGCGTTTTTCTATGCGAGAAAAACGATGTCGAGTTATACTTTCAATGGTACCAAAGTTAGTATACCGAAAGGCCAAATAATATGGATTCCTATATACGCTATGCATCGAGATTCGAACATTTATCCAGAACCGGATGTCTTCGATCCAGAAAGATTTAAT